GTTCTTCCAGGAGGCCTTTGAAGAAAATGAGGAAGGACTCTGGGGATAGTGGTGCCGAGCCTTAGGAAAACCGTGTGTGTTTTTTTTTGTAAGTCTGGTTAGGCTTTTTGGTAAGGAATATACAAAAATTCTTTTCTGAATGAGAAGCGATTTCTTCTATCTTCTGCTTTTGAGAACTGCAAATTGTTGTGTCGATTGATATCTGAAGTGAACTTGATCGGCTCTTATCCCTTTAGCTGAGGCGGGTTGATCTGCGAGCCATCATTATGATTTGACGACCCGATAGTCGAGTGAGCTTCAGGTCGGGAATATAGTCGAGTTGTCTGCTCGAGGAGTCGTCTTATTTGCGAGAGGGCGACTGATCCTGTACTTCGAGTCGGTCATGATGATCCTTGACCGAAATATGGCTTGTCTGCTCGTCCGGTCGAGGGACTTGACCTTGACTGGGCTTTTGAGCCTCTAAGTTGGTTTGGACCATGGCTCCCTTGGGCTTATGCAGACATTCTCCTGACATTTCTATCTTTGGATGGTAAATTACCATACCATAACTTATAACCAATACATATCAAATCTCAAAATTATCAGCAGATCACTAAACATTTAAATTTTACAACAAACAATCTAAAGTTTTAATAATTACAAAAAATACCCTCAAAATTTAGAGTTGCAAGAAATATTCTGACTTTAAAAAACTTACTACCAACACATGAAACATGAAAATTACAAGCACTCAACTTAAAATTTAAAATTTTTAAAAAACACTCTCAAAGTTTCAAAATTTGTGAAACACACCCTTAAAAATTCAAAATCACGAAAAAGCGACTAACATTTTAAAACATAGCAAAAAAAAAGAGTAGTTGTTTGATATTCTTTCATTAAGATATGTAAATTTAACTTTTTTTAAGGTTTTACTATCTTTTTTGGCATTTAAAAGTAGTCTAATTTTATCAAAAAGATAAAGGTGGAGAAGGATTGATAACGTCTTAATAAAAAATAAAACAGAAGGAATGAAAGGCACTATTTTCTAAATATTTTATAGAATAGGTTTTTTGGAGCAAATTAGAAATTTTTGGAAGGGATTTTCATAAACTTTTATAGTACTTTTATATGTTTATGTGGATGTTTTCATTATATAAAGGTATACTAGATTTAGTATTAATCTTTATTTTATAATTTTTTAAAAGTCTATCAAGGACTAGGAACAAACTTCGTATTATCTTTTGTGTCATTTTAGCCCACTTTTAACCAATCATCTTGTCTTATGAGCTTTAATTATTCATTTTCCTTTTAGAACGCTATTTTTTGAAGTGTTTTTCACTTTTACAATGCTATATTTTCTCAGGTCAAGCTTGGTTTCATGTTGGTCTTAATGACATGATAATTCAAATTGATTTCGGATTACATTTATTTCATGTCAACTCAATTATCAATATAAAAATTTAAATTGGGTATAGTTCATTTAAACGAATATTTAAGAAAATAAATAATCACAATGTTAAAGTTTAGAGATATAAGTAAGCAAAAACCATCAAAGTGGAACCGATGAACAAGTTAATTTTAGTAAGGAAATAAACCAAATATACTTAATCATGGTATTTGACCACGTGCATTGCACGTGCATAAAACCTAGTACGCCTAAAGGTATAAGTACGGAAGCTATTTTATTTTGTTCTTTCCATCATCTCATCTGGGGAAACTGTATGATGGATAATATCTCTGTTGATTAGTATACGTGCACGGTGCAAGCTACAACTCTGGCCAACGCTTTGCTTAATACATTGAACATAGACTTGTTTCCACACGTTCAACGAACCTGGACGCTACAAATCTCAACCTCCCTTCTCCGTTCTATAAATAGGCCACATACTGCCCCCTCGTTCATTCATGCAAATCACAAGTATCGGCGACGTATCTATCTGCCTGCCAGTGTATTGACCAGCAAGAAGAAACAAAAACAGAGGTAAAGGTAAAGCCAAGCTTTATAGATTTTCTGCATATATCCCCCCTCCAATATTGGTATTTACAAAATTACCCTCCAATACCCCCCGCATCAAAATTTTCTAAGACGTTTAAGTTAACAATATCAATGTAAAAAATTTCCAGTTAATTCCGACATGTTTTGCAACATTTTCCGTTAGAACTAAAACCATCAAGTGCGAGAGAATTTGAGGGGTAACTTTTCAAATACCAAAATGTAGAGGATAGATCTGCAAATGTAGAGGGATATACGCATATATATGCGAAAACCATCAAGTTAATATCGGCATTATACCTTTTAGAATATTAGAGTTTATTTAAGAGGAGGCAACAGCATATGCTCTTCCAATTAATTAATTCTACGATTATTCATTATTTTCTCAGTGGAGATATCGGAATATCCTCTTGGCACAAATTTTTCTTTTTCTTCCTTGGCTTCTGTTCATAGATAAATTATAGACCCATTTCTATTAATTTCAAGTCCAATGTTTTTTTTTCCCAGGCGTACGTCTCGGTTCTGATCGATCGGCAGGGATGGCGATGTTCATAAGGGCGAAGCGGGTGTCCGATCCTCTCGACGACAGAGTGAAAGCCCG